GTCTCTTCCATCCACTAATTTAAGTTGACTCGTTGGCATTCCAGTTTTATCATAGAAAAAGTAATGATGAGAATTGTTTGCCTCATGGAGTTGTTATAACTAAGGGAGAAAATTAATGTGAAGATGTTTTGTAAAGAATAAAGTACTGCATAAATGTAATTTATTCATGTATTACATAGCAGTTACTGTGTGCCAAGCCCTGTTTGAAAGCTTTACAAATATTAGCTCAGGTAATCTTCACAGTAACCCTATGAGCTAAATGTTATTACAATGATAATCCTTATTTTACACATATGGAAACTGCTTGTCCATGTCCCACAGTTGGCAAAAGTAGAGCTGGGATATGAACCCAGGAAATATGAAGCAGACAGAATCTACATCCTCGACCATAACCCCACGCTGCCTGCAATACGTGATGATTATAATTATGATTAGAGATGTGACTAGAAAAGGCACAAACAACTCTCACTTTTTCTCTTTTAAAAGCCTGTGAAAAATAAAATAAAATTATGCAGAGAATGAATCGAGGAATGTTGAAGATAAAAGCAGAAATTAATAAATTATAAAAGAGAAAGATTCAGAAATGACAGACACTTTCAAGAGCTGATTCTCTGAAGAAAAAAAACGTAAAAGAAAGAAACTTCTTGAAGTCTAATGAAAAAAAAAGAACAAGTAAAAGCACAACCACAAACACTAGAAATGATAAGATATATCATGTATTAGGAGGTGGAAAATGTATGAATACATTATCTATAATTCTAGAGCAAGATGTGAAAAAATGTTCCCAGATCAATTTCCTAGGTTAATTTTGGTAATTTAGAATTCCTTAGGAAATTGACCAAGGAATGAATATATATATATATGTATTCATCTGAAATATATATATTATACATGTTATATATCTAATATATATAAGATATTATATATAACATATATTATATATATCATCGCATAATCCTTTAATGGCAAATATATAATATATATTATATATATAATATATGTTATTTATATATTATATATGTTATATATATTATAACATATATAATATATATAATATATATATCATCGGCATAATCCTTTAATGGCAAAACTGAAAGGGAGTCCCATGAATATGAACATATCCACAATCATCAACCCTGATTTGGCAAAAAGATAAGAAATAAAGCAGAATAATTCAAAAAGATGGGGACAAAACTATGTGTGATGGTGTTCTTAACAATACGAAAATCTCAACCAAAGGAGCAAATAAATTAATAAGAGTTCGGGAAGGTGGCAGGTTAGAAAAGAAAATAAATATCCAAAATGTAGGTTTCCTGCCTACTAGCAATAATTAATTTTCAAATGACATGGAAAAGTCCCACCCCCTTTGTAACATCAGCCAATATTGTGGAATAATTATAAATACATAATAAATGGGCAAGTATGTGTACTACATTTCAGAATCTACCTATTTAAAATTTCAAAACTTTATCCCATTGTGGTGGCCATGGAAAGAGAACCTGCTTGACTCCAATACCGCCCACCAAGTAAAGGCCACGCCCTCCCCGGGATGCTCCCAGTCAATGAGCAAAAGCGATTGGGTACCAGCACATGGCTAATTCTACCAGAGGTGGAAATCCTCCATTGCGAAATCTTTGGCCTAGGCTCCCAGTCAGCTGGGTGAGATTTTCTTGGCTGCACAGCAGTGTGAGGCTAGTTTTAACCATTTCCTTCCCCCACCTATTTCTTGTCCTTTCCCTCTCCCCTCTTTTTCTCAATAAGACATTTGAGGTTTATTCCTTTCCTTCTTTATGAATGTCAGATTTCATCAGTGGCTGACAGTGTTCCTGCCTTTTCCTGTGTTCTCTCCTATATTTTTCTCAGGCTCCCCCGCCACCTACCCCATAACCTAAAAAAGCCACTAGAGAAAATTATCTTTAAATATGTTGGGTTTACTCAGGAATAAGAAATCAGGATTATAATCTGGAATGCATGGAATGGCAAACCACCAGGGAAGGGTAAAAGGAAGCTTGCATTAGCAAAAAGGAATTTAAATAAGACCTTAGAAACAAAGTTTATTGGTTCCAGAGATGCAAAGCCAGGATTGTTGTCAGTTCATTGGTGGTCTTCCCATTTACTGGGCATGTGTTCTGAGAGAATCTTACCTGAATTACTGCAGTCCTAAAGAATGTCTGGTAATAAATCTTATCAAAGCAGGGGATGCATGAAGGTGAAAGGGTTTCTTACGGGGTTTTTAGAAAGTCCTTGTGAAAGGTTTTTATCTCAGGCATGTAAGCATGTGCTTCCTCTGCTTCATGCCTTCCCAGCCTTATTTCGTCTGGGTCTAATGAAAGTGATTTCCTCTTGTTATCCGCAACTTTCACACCCCACAACGCATCTCTTGCATGTCTGATTCTGTTCTAACTTTGGCTTCCTGAAGAACTTGAATTAAAACCCACCAACAATGCTATTTCATAAGCCCCTTTCCAGCTTTTTTTTTTTTTTTTTTCTATTTAGCTCTGTCTACTATTTAACATTCTCTGGTATACTTACTTATCTTGTTCATTGTCTTTATCTCTATCTCACTAGAATATAACCTCCATGAGCGCAAGGAATTCTATTTGTTCTTTATGTTCAGTACCTAAAATAATTCCTGGCTCATGTCAAGTGCTCAATAAACATTTGTTGAATGAATTAATGAAGGAAATGTTGTTAAATAAGACTTGAATAATGTTCTTGGAAAAGATGAAAATCCCAGTAGAATTTTAAAAAGTTTAAATTGAAAAATAAATATTTAAAAATAGACAACAAAATGTCAAAAAGAATAGCAAGATATTATGTGAGATATTGAAAATCTAAAGATGCAATAATTAAAGCAGCCTGGTGATGATTTGGGCATGGATGGACTGATCAGTAGGGGAGAATTAAAGCCCACTGTCATGCATTTTTGCAAACTCGAGGCATGAATAAGCATTTAAGGAAAGTATTATTCAATAAATGATATTAGGAAATCAACGAGAAAATAAAGACAATTCACAAGAGAAGAAATACAAATAACTTATACAACTATGAAAAAAATATTTGACTCAAGGAATTACAATTAAAAAAAGGCACCATTTCACCTTTAAATTTGGAAAGGTAGGGTAGGTAGGTAAATAGAATATTTATATTGAACAGAGAAATCATGTGTTCTTTATGCTATTGATGATGCTGTCAACCGTCAAAAGACTGTAGGATGATTTGACACTATACGTAAGAAAACTGATGGTTTTGTGTATCTTTTGAACAACTTTCCAATTTATGATTGCAGCTTAAGAAAATAACATAAATATGAGCAAAAATTTAACTAAAATATATTTCTTGCCATATTGTTTATAAAAACTTAAAAAATGGAAATAAATATGAGACACTAAAAAATTGGCTGAATAAATTGTACCACATGCACATGATGATGTATAATTTAGCCATTTGAGTGATTTTGTAGAATATTTAATGTCAGAACGATGCTAAAACTTTTACTGGTCAGAATAAACTAGATAAATGGAGACAGGTATAATCTAGTGTGAGAAGAATTCCAAAGTTCTCAGTGCCTTACACAACGGCTCATATAGAACTGGGTGACTCTTAAAGACAGCTCTCCTCCCTCCACATGTTGGTTTAGCATTTCAAGATATCTCCTTCTTATGGGAAAATATCCTATATTTCCATCTCCATGTCATAGCAGGAAAAGGGCAGATCAGATAGTCACTACTACTAAAATGCTTCTACTTCAAAGTCGCATATGTCACTTCAACTTAAATTTTATTTGGCAAAGTCAATGGTTATATCGCACCTCAAAGGACAGGGAAGTTAGTCATTTTGTGGACTTGCAAGGAGAAGAGAACAAGATATTAATTAATAGTAGTATTCTTCCAATTAATGTATTCTGTTAAGAGTTTAAAATGACAGTACAGCTTGTAAAAATTGCATGTATATATTGTTTGTGTGTGCATCTCTGTGTGTATCTGTTTGGATAGAGATATGGATAAGGTAGATGTAGACAGATACATATGTACATATAGAGTCAACAGAATCTCTCTGGGTAGCAGGGCAATAGATGATTTTTGTTTTCTCCTTCTTATCTGTTTTTTTTTTTTTTTTTTTGAGACGGAATTTCACTCTTATCACCCAGGCTGGAGTGCAGTGGCATGATCTTGGCTCACTGCAACCTCCCCCTCCCGGGTTCAAGTGATTCTCCTGCCTTAGCCTCCTGAGTAGCTGGGATTACAGGTGCCCGCTGCCATGCCTGGCTAATTTTTTTTTTTTTTTTGTATTTTAGTAGAGACGGGGTTTTGCCATATTGGCCAGGCTGGTCTCGAACTCCTGACCTCAGGTGATCCTCCCATCTCAGTCTTCCAAAGTGCTGGGATTACGGGTGTGAGCCACCAGGCCTGGCCTCTTATCTCTATTTTTAAAGTATTTTTACAATAAGCAATGTTGTTATAATAAGAAATGAAGTTGTAACATTAAGAAAAAAGGTACATAATATGTTTATAACTGTTTGAAATTCAAATTTTATGTGTCTTTTAAGAAAGTAAAATCCTTTCAATTTTACCCTTTGCCATTTTTTATCATTCCTATCTCTTCTCTCTACTACTTTGCTCAGGTCCCTAAGCAGAATAAATTGTTGTTAAACTTCTGTTTGAGATGATTGTTGTTAATTTCCTTCCCAGTTCAATAAGATAGTGCTCAACTCCTGTGACTGAGTTATGATTAAAATAGCATTACTCCTCTTAAGGAAGATACAACGAAAGGACAGTTGGAGTTAAGTATATTCTAATGGCATGAGAGCAATTGTCACTAAAGAGATTTAAGATATGACCTTTTATTCTCGACCACAACTGTTCTAAAAAAAAAAAAGAAAGAAAGAAAAAAAAAAGCCTTGTGCATTTTGAATATCAGCACTCAACCCCATTTGGCTTAGCAAAAAACTTTGAAGGTTGAATTTTAACCCTGTTTTCTATTTCATTCTTGCCCCTTAGAATTCAAGTGTCTGTATTGGTGAAGGCAAAAGTCCTGCTTGATTGAGGCCTCCATAGCCTGTGACTCCATCTGAGCAGTGTCCCTTCAGAAGCTGCTTAAACATTTCCCTGAGCTTACAGAATTGCACTGCACTCTGGGTAAGCATGGTGTCTATTATATGGTATTGAGATTAATGAGATGAATCTGCCTTAGACGAGGGGATCTTCAGAAAGCATCCAAACCAGCCTGCACACAGGACAGCTTGTGTGATAAAGCAGAGTCTTTAGAGAGATGTATTTGGACTTCCACAAGTTCTGATGAGATCCTCACTCTCCTTCAGATGTGAGGCTCCAAAAGGAGGACTTTAGGATCTAGAAGTTTGCATCCCAGTGTCTCCTGGAGAACGTTGCTAATCTGTTTGCTATGAATTCTGACTTTATTAACTTTCTTCCAAATCTTTAAAATAAACAAACCCTATTTAATTTACCTGAGAAAAGTCTATGCCTGTCAGTCCTTCATTCTGAGCTGGCTATTTACATTTGTAAATGTAAATATGAAGGCCATGAAGGAATAGAAATACTCTTGAGCTCACTTAAGCAGAAAAGTAGCATCCTTAAATTTAAGGACACATGCAGAAACACCCAAAACCTGTGTTCCAGTTCTGGGAAAGATAATCAGAATGGTGTATCTTGGATTAGGGGATTTAAGACTCCCAAGTCAAATAAGTTACAGCCTTGCAACAATGTAAGGAATTAAATTGTATTAACTGATGACTTCCCAGTGGATGGTGTGAGGCAGTGGTCAGTGAAGGGTGATTGTGGATTTCTAGTAATTCACTATAAAGAGAGGTATGTTGAGAACTCTCAAGAGTCTCTCGTGGTTGGGCATACCAGTGTCCATCAATGTCCAATTTCTTCCCCATTCATGGTGCAAGGAATATACTTACTTTCTTCAGCTCCCTTGCAGTTAAGTGGGCGCCATATGACTTATTCTGGCCAATGAAGGATGAATGGAAGTGAAAGATATCACCTCTGGGCTGAAATAGTAAAAGGAGCATATGTTTTTCCAGTCTTGCTCATTCTCCAAGGTGGTGGTGTCTCCAACAGTTTGGAATTTGTGGTGACCCCATAGGGAAGGTGTATTAGTCCATTTTCACTCTGCTGATAAAGACATACCCGAGACTGGGAAGAAAAAGATGTTTAATAGACTTACAGTTCCATATGACTGGCGAGGCCTCACAATCATGGCGGAAAGCAGGAGGACCAAGTCACATCTTACATGGATGGCCTCAGGCAAAGAGAGAGCTTGTGCAGGAAAACTCCCCTTTTTAAAACCATCAGATCGGCCGGGCGCGGTGGCTCACACCTGTAATCCCAGCACTTTGGGAGGCTGAGGTGGGTGGTTCACAAGGTCAGGAGATCGAGACCATCCTGGCTAACACAGTGAAACCCTGTCTCTACTAAAAATACAAAAAAATAGCCGGGCGTGGTGGCAGGCGCCTGTAGTCCCAGCTACTCAGGTGGCTGAGGCAGGAGAATGGTGTGAACCCGGGAGGTGGAGCTTGCAGTGAGCTGAGATCACGCCACTGCATTCCAGCCTGGGCCACAGAGCGAAACTCCTTCTCAAAAAAAAAAAAAAAAAAAAAAAAAAAAAAAAATCAGCTCTCTGGAGACTTATTCCCTATCATGAGAACAGCACGGGAAAGACCTGCCCCATGATTCAGTTACCTCCCACTGGGTCTCTCCCACAACATGTGGGGATTCAATATGAGACTTGGGTGGGGACAAAACCATACCATATCAGGATGGTTGCCCTGAAGAGATACCTGGACCAGTAGCTGACATTACATGACTGAGAAATGCATCTTTGTGGTGGTAACCTACTCATTTTTGTGGGCTATTGGTTACCATGGCAAAAATCAGTCTATCCTGACTAATTTACTCTGTACACTGATTCTAATCCATTTTCAGTCTGGACCCAAGTCTGGTTTTATGTCCTGTCTGATCTGGTCTCAATTTGGGCCATTGCTGAGTGCTGACCACACTATAGCTGTTTATTTAGCACTGGGTTTTCCAAGCCATCTTATCCACCGCAGGACAAGATGCTGTCTTTAAGATCCTTGACTCAATAAACTGCTCTGAGGAAGCAGTTGCCATGCCACGCTTTTCAGATGGGTCCTTTCTTCTGTCCAACCTTTATTATATAAAGTAGTTAAGAAAATGTGCTTCATATTCAGATGAGCTTAGGTGCAAATCTAGTCTCAGTCATTTCTAGCCAAGAAAATGGAAAAAAAAAATGAGAAAGTTGCTTAATCTAAAACCTTGATTTCCTTACTTACAGAATGGAAATGGTAATAGCACTTATGTACAGGACTGCTGAGAAGGTAGAATGAGAAAAGTGAGTAATATGCCTGGGAGGAAGTGCTGTTACATAGTACATGCTCAATAAAAGCTGGTTGTTAGTATTCTTCCCATTTCTTCCCTAGATTAGGGTCAGTTTCCTATTTCCCAAGTCCTTTCTTAGTAAGTCACAGTTTAGCCATTATCAACCTATTCTGGCAGATGTGGGATGACCTGACAATATGCCCGAAAATCTTCATCTAATAATCTTTTCCTTGGGGTTTAGAGGGTAGGAATTTTATCTGCTAAAAGGAAGGCTTACCAAAAGGACAAAGTGCTGGGGACATAGTTCCAAGTCTCAGCATGTATGTCCCCAAGCAATCTTCTGTTGGCCAAACAGCTAAGAAGGAAAGAATAAGCAACATCCCTTCTTCTTGCCCCATCTTTGCTTACTGGTTTGGCTGCTGTGTGTGGGCCATGCTTCTAAGAATGAATCCTCTCTGTTTTCTGCTCTGCTTCCTTCTTGGGGATTCTCCATTGACCTCTGGACTGCAGCCATCCTAAACGTTCCTCCGTTCCTCCAGGGCCATGCTTTGCCTACCTCCTGGCATTCATGCCTTTTCTTCCCTTGGTCAGAAAAATCCTCCCTCCCACCCTGCCACCCTCACTTGGCTACCTCTTATTCGAAGTGAGGTTTTCACATAGACATCACTTTTCTGGGAAGTCTTTCCTGACTCTGCAGTCCTAGGGCGTTGCTTCTACTGTGAACTCCATAGCATCTCACTTCTTCCTGCCACTCCCATGTTTATCCTAATTGACTGTCTACTCATTTCTCATTAGGGTTTAAGCCACCTGAAGGGTTGTAGCCCCAGTGCCTTACATAGGACCTGGCACATCACAGATGGTCAATAAATATTTCTTGACAGAATGAATGAATGTCTTCTGCTCAGAATTTTCATATTCATCTTAAATTTTCATATTGACTCTATCTCTGTATCTAAAAATCATCTTCCAAAGATCTCTTCAGTAGTGCATTATTCTTTATCACCCTTGCCCCAGTATCCCCTGCCTACCCTTCCCTTCCTCCATGCCCATATGCCAGCTAGCTCCAGTTCATTCTGGAATGGCACAGTAGGAAGCATGATAGTGTAGAACCTGGCTACTCAAAGAATAATCTGGGCCACAGAAGCTTTGGTATCCCCTTGGGAGCTTATTAGAAATAGGGAATATCGGCCTCACTCCAGACCTATTGAATTGAATCTATCATTTAACGAGATCCACAGGTATTTAATTCTGAAGCACATTTAGATTTGAGAAGTGCTGATGTTTGATTTGTGCACTTTACCCTCTAAACATCAGTTTCCTTTATTCCAAATGAGAAAAATAATACCTGTACCGCTGAGTTTAGGTAGGGATCAAATAAGGCAGTTCGTATACAACACTTAGCATAATAAAGGTGGATATTATTGAAACATCCTTCCTCTTCCTGGGTCATTAGTCAGAGATCCCCAGTATGCTTTTGCATATGAATGACGGTCTCTAATTTGCCCTGGATGAAACTTGTAGACTATTTCCATTTTTGAAATCCTAAAGAGCCCATCTTTGAATTGTAACTTTTAGGAGGGTCTCTTCTTCCAATGAACTCTGAGTGGACATTACTGTTTTGGGAAATACCAGTTTTTAGTGCACATCTTAACATTTTAGAAATGTCCTCATTATCAACTAAGTTATTAGCTCCTAAGTAATGAGGCCATGTCTTAAAGCCCTTTTGTCTTTAGCAGCTGGAAAAATATAATGTCCTAAAAGAGGAAGAGCTCAAATATATTCTGATTTTGATGATGATAATGACAATTGCTTTCTGTTGATCATAACTTTCTGGAGAGGTAGAATTTGTTACTCTCATCTTCCTAGCCCAATGTAGTGCTATGGTTTCCAAAGTTCTATTTCAGCAATGGTACCCTTTTGGCAATAAAATATTATAGAACCTCAGTAGATGCTAAACATCAGAACTGTGCTGCTCTGGCTAAAATTGGGAAGCGAGCCCAGAATGCCTCACTTTTCATCTCTGTGTCCCATGCCCACATGGCTACAGGAGTCTAGGAGTCAAAAGAACTGGCTTTGAGATCTTCTCAAAAGCTTAGCAAGGATCTTGGTCATGTCACTTTCAACCTGGTGACCCTCAACCAGCTCATTCTCAAAATACACTTGTTTACAAAATGGTGGTAAAGAGACAATACTGAAAAACTGGCATTAATACTGCTGTTTTATGTTTTAAAGGGAAACGACATCTCCACTGTTTTGTACTTTTTGTCCTCAAATATCATGAGATATCAGAGAGATCCAGGATCTAGGACCAAAAGTCCTCTAAGAAAAACTGACAAAGGGGATTTAGATTTTTAAGCACATTACCCTTGAGAGGAGGTATAGGCCCCAAAGAGCTAATTTGGCCTTATATGTAAGAAAGGGGAGAGAAGCAGAATGGGGAAGTCTTTGCTAGAAGTGTGGAATCTGACCTCGTTGGAACTCAAAACATGATAACCCCAAATTTGGCACCTTGGTCTGCTAAGGATTTTAATCTGAAGGAAACTGAGGAAACCACAGAAACAGGAAGGTTGCCATATTAGTCAGGGTTCTCTAGAGGGACAGAACTAATAGGCTAGATGTATATATGAAGGGGAGTTTATTAAGGAATGTTGACTTACATGATCACAAGGTGAAGTCCCACAATAGGCCATCTGCAAGCTGAGGAGCATGGAAGCCAGTCTGAGACCCAAAACTTCAAAAGTAGGGAAGTCAACAGTGCAGTCTTCAGTCTGTGG